AACACAGGTACCACAAGGACATTAATATTCTCAGTGCAACAACAGGAAAATTTTAGGAGAGACATTTCACAACACTTGAGTCTTATCAGAATTGGACAGGAATGATGAAACATGTTTCGCTCAAGTACTCTGGCTGATCTACTTGAGCGTTCTTCCAATACCACAACTTACGACTCTGTCTAGTAAAGAGTGTATTTTTCCAAAGGTCCAAGAAATCAGCTAAGATGTTTTCTTGAGTTTTATTTACAGTATTGGCTAATTCTGTCACATAATGCGGTTGCTGATGCTATGGAGGAATTTCTGCTTGAGACCAGATAAATTTTACAAACCTTGAAATCCATGGGAAAATCTGGTGCTACACAGAAACCATGGGCATTCAAGGCTGGAGAGACTGCCAGAGCCCAGCCTTACTTCATGGAAACATCCGAGCAAGGGACAGGAACACTTGGTTCTTTCCTGGGTTTTAACCAGCTACTTACCTAAGAGAAGCCAACATCAGGAAGATGAAGACTTGCACAGACATCAGTGAAGCCAGAGACACCACATGACCTAACATATAGGCGAGGCTACCACTCTGTTTGCTCGGGCAAAGAAAGGCCAGGGACACTGTCCAAAAGGAACAGTTAGATCACTATAGGTTGGAAGACGCACTTCACACAAACGATGTCTGAGAGACACTTCCTCCGGATGTTCTGCCAAGGCGGGGGACACTTTGTCACCGCTGACTTGGGTCCCAGGGCCTGACTTTGGCTCCAGGGTCACAGATGCAAGAATTGGGCCTAGAAAGGGATCGAGGCTTCCTGGCTCACATGATGTCTGTCTGCCATAATCCATCCTGTTTCTGGGCTAAAGCAATATGTGCCACTAGGGTCTACCTTCAGAGAAGACTTTCTTCAGACTACACGGTGTGTGGGGGAACAAAAATAGAAAGGCTACCTGGGAGGTCAGTTGGAATTTCACCCTCTGGAACATCGGAGCAATCACCAGCAACATCCGGAGCACGGCCAACTTTCTCTTCATCGAGTGCAAATTTGCCTTCACTGTCTAGCTGGGTGCGGTCAGATCCCTCTTGGAGAAGTGAAGGATTCAAAACACATTCATCCTGGGACTCCAGGAGCACCTCCTCCTTCTCAGGTGCCTCTAGCTCCGCGCTGTGCCAGGTGGG